TCATTTGATTAGATCTTTGGGACAGATTCCACATAACAGAGAAAACAACAGGTGTAACATAAGCAATACCTTCAGAAGACAGGTGTTGAGATGTCTCCGGATCACAGGTGTCTGGTAGCTGTACACTCTCTGTTTCTGCTGTCTTGTCTTCACCGCTGTTTGTTATCATCGTAGCGGACTTTCCATTGTCATACCTCAATAAATGTAATAGATTTGTAGTGTTGTAATTAGTTTAAAATGGATACATTATGTATTTATTTTGATAAATCTAAATTTGCATGTTTTAGATACATTTTGTGTGTTTAGATGGAGGTGGTGTTAGTGAGTCTGGGAGTAGAACTATCTTACTATATATAAAGCGAGACGATATACATGTATGTATATATCCGTGCCATTTTACTGACACCACGGCATCAACTTTAACGCAACTTTCCGCAAAAACCGTAAAAGATATACAACTGAAACTTTTTTAACTGGGTCAAATGCTTTAATGGCCTTCAAATCAGCATGAAAAAATAAAAAATTGGCCAAGGAATAATAATTTTAGTGCCCAAAATTTGGACTCCGAAGTGGTGTCAAAAACGCGAATTAAATAGGTAATAATTATTTTAGTCTCTCGAGTCTTGACACCACTTTAGGGTTAGACGGGTTCCTGCTAGTTACTTGTAATACGTATACCCCCAGAACTTGTACCACTTAACCATGCTTTTAGTATTTATACAATATGGACTACAACTTTTACCCAACAAAATGCCTCGTGATAATAATGTCGTATATTTTTAATTCTCTTTGCTGTATTGTATAATGTACTATTTGTAAAAGTTTCAAATCATGTCTAACACATCCTGAAGCATACCAACACTCAACACTATGTCCAATACATACGATACCAAGACCTGATGTATCTGACCTATCTGTAACCTCTTTACAGCAAACAAGAACATGGATACATCACCTTACCAGATTCTGATTTAGCAAAAATAATAATATATTAAAATTATTCAAACAATATACACATAATATAGCAATGACCCTATATAAAATCAACCCTTAAAGAATTCAAAAAATTCCCATAACAATCAAAAATTACCCTTGGCCTTGTGGCTCCAAGTTAAGATCTAGACTGTTTATATCAACAATTTTTTAGCAAAAATTTCTTTTGCCTTAGCTTTCCATTTGCTGATTCAAAATCGACAAATGTACCTTTAATATTGAATACTGCCATAATTTATATCAATACACTTCAACTTTTTCGGAAAATTTCTTTTTAAGTCTATGAGTCAGTTTAAGCAAATAAAAGGGAAGGTTACCTACAGTCGCGGCATGCGCGGCTCACTGTCGATGTTTGCTCTAACCAGAGCCCTCTCGCTTGCAGTACACAGTAGCGCGCGATCGCGCGTCAAATCAAATCAAATCAAAATATAATGACACAAACATCATCACACATCATCAAAAATATATTTACAAAAGTTTTAAAATTACCTAAAAACTATTGGCCTAAACAACCAAGTTAAAATAAATCTAATTTACATTTACCTGAGGACCCCAGGCTATTATGTTCATTAACATAATAAAGATTTGGCGGAATGACAGGCTGAGCGCGGCCCAGTAAATTTACATACT